GGGAGAGAGCGCGAGAGAGACGCGGAGTGCCGAGTCGCCGCCGCGGCCGCGCGGCTGGAAAGTCTCCAGGTGTGGAAAATTGCGAGGCGCGCGTGCTCGCGCTCACGCTCACGCTCACGCTCATGCTCACGCTCACGCTCACGTGCGTGTGCGCTCATGCTCACGCTCACGTGCGTGTACGCGCGCGTACACACGCACGCCCGTCACCTTTCGTTCGCGCTTGCGCGCGCGGATTTGCGCTCTCTGCTCGTAACCGCGCGCGCGGGGCCTACGAAAGCGGCCGATCCAGTTGAACGAGATCCTGAGGAAAAGGAAAATGCCGCCGCGGCTGCGCGACGAGCTCGTGTCTCGGAGCATTCGGCAACTTGGCGCGCCCGAGGTCGCCCGTCGATCAGGATGAAGCGACCGCGTATCGATCTTTCATTATACTCGGAGCCTCCGAAAGTTCCCTCCGCGAGCTTCCGACCCGACCATATTGGTCCCGGCGGGAAGAGAGAGAGAGAGAGAGAGAGACAGAGAGAGAGAGAGAGAGAGAGAGAGAGAGAGCTGGTCGCGCGACGCTCGTGATTCGCGTTTAATTCGGTATAATTACGTGGAAGATACACGGCCGATACCACTTGCCAAAATGTCTTCTCGCTCTCGGGAACGCGGAGAGCGCGATGAAGCAGTGCTTCCGTGAAAGAGCCGCATATAGCGCAGCAGGGAAGGGGATTTATTTATTATACACTTGGCGTCCGCTACCGCGCGTCTCACTGTAAACTCGGTTTGGTAAAGCTTATTGTGGCGGACGATGCGCGCGCCGAGTAGCGGCCCGGAAAATTCAAACGAACAATGCGATGGGGAGTTATTTTTATTCCATCAAGTTTCTTCATCGAGAAGTCGCGTCGGTCCGTCGGCGCGTCGATGTGCCGTGGCGGATACGATGAAAATATTTTCCACGGCGATATTATCCATCTGCACTGCGCGGCGATCAGAGTAATCTTACTAACAATTCTCTGTAAAGTCCTTCCCGAGACGTGATAACCGTATTTGCAGTATCGGTAAGACTGAAACGTCGCGTGGCAAACTGAGATTAACGCAATGTAGAGCATTACGAAGAAATTGCGTGCGCGCTTGCAATTCCTGGCAGTCTGAAATACTTCCATGTTCCGTTCGTCTCGCTTTTTCTCGAGACGATAACGTTGCATCAAGTACCGATCGCGACACGGACTCTGCGTGGCGGTCGGATCGGCAACGGAAGAGCTGCACGCGAGTCGCGGTGATCTGAATATTGCGCAAATATCGCGTTGCCGTAAGAGACTGATATCGCGATTCGGAAGAAGAGACCGAAACACGGCCGCGACAACTCGAGTTGAATCGAGCAGAAAATCGCTGTCCGCGCGCGAGCAACGCGCGACCGCTGGAGATCTTCGGACGTGATGCGCTCGCGACAACGACGACGGGTTTCGCCAGACGGACTTTGGCGCGAAAGTCAAGCAACATTGAAGGAAGAAAGAACGAAGAAGTAGCACGAAACAATAAATATTTAGTCAAAGTGAGAATCGGTCGCGGAGCGCCCGATCGGCCGAGAAATCTCCACCGGAAAAATCGGAGAGACAGAGAAAGAGAGACGGACAGACCACCAGAAAGAGAGACAGACAGGCCGCGTGGAAAAAATACGCAACGACTGGATGAGTCCAGATGTAACGTCCGCGACGTTGTCGTCGTCGTCGTCGTTCCATCTGCTCGCGGCGATTAAAAGCATCGACTAATGGACGCGCGTGTTCTTCTCCGCCGATCGCTCGGAAGAGCCGCAGAGAGAAGGAAATCGCGGAACGACGCGCGGCACGGCCGGCTGCGGAGAAGAAGCGCGGTCCGCAGAATTTCGGGAGTTTCGGCTATAGCACTGTCCGCCTCCGCCTCCGCCGCGGCCGCCGCCGCCGCCGCCGCCGCCGCCGCCGCCGCCGCCGCCGTTGCACGCTGCGCTCTTCGCATGACGCACGTCGAAGATGCGAGCGTGCCGGGTGACTGTACTCTGGGTTCATCGTTCTCGGTTATGTAATGTTCGGCCGCGTACGTATGCTGCAAGCGCCTCGACGCGCTCTGCTCGTGGCGCTAGAGTTGCCGGACGGGAGAGAGAAGCGCGCGCGCGATATATCCAGCAGATACACTCCGTGCGCACCGAATCTCCTCGCTTCCGCGCGCGGGCGCACGCATGCGGCGACACGCACACACGCACACACGCGGACTCATCGCCGCGCGTCCCTCTCCCCTCGCCGCGTCCGCTCATCCACCCACGACACACATGACTCGCCGCGCTCTGCACACATCGGCACCGGGCTTTTTCCGTCGCATCGCTCTATAGGAGAGCACTCTCCGATTTCTCGGCTCCGCGGAAATTGCCGATCCGACTCCCGGGGGAACACCCGCCGCGGCGTCGCCGGCGTCCCCCCGGCTCGCGATTCTCGCTCGACGCTGTCGCGCGCGCGCGCGCGCGCGCGCGAGAGGAACTCGCTCGCAGCGGGTCCACCGTTGCTCGCGATAGGTCAAGGGCAGAGCTGGACTCCGGTGAACTTTCGATTTGTGCCGAAGGGCTCTCCGGAGAGGCATTTTCCGCCTGAATTCGACGCGGACACGCGAGTCGAGTGTGTGACGCAGTTTACTCGGCTGCGTCCTCTGGATATTGAAATAGATAGCGATCGCGGTCTGTCCGCGTCTGGCTGTTTGTCTGTCTGTCTGTCTGTCTGTCTGTCTGTCGCTGAACGCCGCTCTATCTACGCCATCACCGATAAGCCCGACGAGGAATTTGATCAAACTCCAATAGACAATGACGATAAACCTCGTGATTCGTGAGTTTGTCAATTCTTCGCGACGCGACACTTACGAGGGCGCAAAGTCCGACATTCCTCAAACGCGAGCGACTGCTGATACATTTCGAGGTTTCTCCGCGAGTTTTCCCTTCCCGCTGTGAGGGGGATGCTCGGGCCCATTAATTCGCTCGCAACAAATACAGTACTCTTGCGTCTTAAAGAAAGAAGACAAAAGCACTGAAGCAGACTCAAGATATTGTGCACACTGCGAGCACTGACGTCGCTCGCCTCGATGATGAACGCTGTTTGACCCTGCGTCGCCTAAAAAATAACCCTGTCACGGCGGATGTGTCTCCATAATAAAAATCTGCAAACTATGCTGCGTCGTCGTATGCCGATCTTAATCTGTCGCGAGCGCCGTCAATCGGGAACCCGACGAACGCTCGACGAGCGCGGTGAACGCGCGCTCCCGAGCAGACCGTGCGAATCGCGCTGTGAAATTCAGCTGTGTGAGGAAATCTGAGGGGCAGGAAATCTCCTGCTTCGATTCAAACCCCTCGTCGTTCGTCCGCCAGACGACGGACGGTCGTCGCAAGTGAAGTCGCACGAGCGAATCTCGAAGATCGTGCCGGTGTTCCCGCGACAGTTCGCGTAAATGAAAGCAGCAGGAGAGAGCCGTAAATGGAGGGAAGTCTGTCAGGATTCGGCGGGCCTACGTGGGGCGCGGACAGCACGAGTCCTCAGCCGACGGAAGGATCGAAATCGAGAGGATCCGCGCAGCCGCCCGCCGCCACCGGCAGCGCGATCCTCGACGAGCGTAGACTGCAAGCCAACTCGATACGAGGTAGATCCGCCGAACGCGATCGGAATAGAGCGACGATCGAGACTTACATAGCGAACGGCAGCCCGACGAGCGTATTAAGGGTAGCTTAATTAAGGGAAAATTACATGCCGAAGGCTGCCTTCAAGGCTATTTTTACGAATTTGCTTAACAGAAACGGTAAAATCAATGGACTTTAAATTTTCACAGCGTATTTATTAATGTTCAAAGTATAAAATAAATTTTATTGAATCATAAAAACCGATCCAATTTGTAATTTTAGATAAAAATGCAATCATCCGTTTGCGAGCTCTATGTTTGCTGTTGACATAATTCCGGGCCTCTCACTACCTCTCTGAAACCAAGAGATGAGAAAACTTTTTTTAAATATACGCTTGCCATTATAACTCTCGTATTGAAATGAAGGCAGTGAAGCTACGTTTGGAAAAATAATGTCTGTACAGAAAAAAGTATCGAGAATGAAACTTTTTTCAATTTGTAATCATTAAAAAATGAATATACAATAAAATATACAACTGTGTTCGAGGTAGAGGCGAAAACTACGTGTACTGCAGTACGTATGTCTGCTATATATTGTGTAAAAATTGCAAGTTATTCGGTTCAGTAGTTTTTGCGTAATCGTGTCGACAGTTTAAGAAAACGGTGTTTTCAGATAAACGTGTTTAAAGCTTTATGTGTGTACTTTCCATACAGATGGTAACAAATTTATTTTATTTATTTTATATATTGAACATCAATGAATACATTGCGAAAATTTCAAGTCCATTCTGCCGTTTTCTCTGTTAAAACAATTCGTAAAAATAACTTTGAAAACTGCTTGCTCCACATGTAATTCCCCCCTGCGACGTGCGAGACTCGATACGTGACGATAAGGTGTGTTCTTCCGCGAGCTCTCATGGACGATCAATTCGACATGGGATCCTGCCGAATTCATGTTCCTCGATTATCTTCATCAAGCATGATTGTGTACCAACAACGTCTTATTGTAGCTCATTAAACGGCTGGTCGCGTGGTTTTACAAAACAGCTCCTCGCACCAGGATTCACTATCCACCATTTTGTCCTTCGATAAACCACCAAGTGTTAAGATTCGTAGTAATTTCGCGAAATGAGAGCTTTCGAAGCGGGGAGAACACGGATGTGAAAACAGGCGCGCCCTCGTCAGTAGGTCACTGTAGACGCGCGCATGCACACGAGAGAGAGAAAGAGAGAGAGAGAGTATAACCCTCGAACTTGATGAGACTCGCGAAATAAAGGTGAAGGATTACGGGCGGGCAATAAAGCGACGGGGAGCTTTCCGCGCGGCGCGCGGCCATCCTGCTCCCTCCTGAGAGCTCATAATTGACGTGTTCGTTTCTTTTATGGTTGCAGCCCAAATCGAGATAATCCCGTGCAAGGTGTGCGGGGACAAGAGCAGCGGCGTGCATTACGGCGTGATCACCTGCGAGGGCTGCAAGGGCTTCTTCAGGCGGTCGCAGTCGTCAGTCGTCAACTATCAATGTCCGCGGAGCAAGAATTGTGTGGTCGACCGTGTAAACAGAAACCGGTGCCAGTACTGTCGGTTGCAAAAGTGCCTACGCCTCGGCATGTCAAGAGATGGTGAGTGCTTTCGACCTTTTGTCACCTTTCCGGTCTCGCACAGCAACCCCGTGGATTCTCTGAGCGAGAGGACGTGTACCGCGAGCCGCAGCCTCGGCCGATTCTCAAGTTGAAGGAACTGCTAGAGTCGCTCGTGAGTCGTGCGAAAATCGCCCGATGGGAATATTAAGAGATTACACATTCTCTATCATTGCTGCGCTATTCTTCCGCGGACTTGTTTAACGGACGGATCTCTCTTAGGCCCGATAAAGCTCGGACTCCCATTATTCGTTTATAGACAACGGCAGACAAGAGTCTGTCAGACCTCCGTCAGAGGTTTTTTTCAATTCGGATGATTGAGATGTGACGGGGTGATTGATTCCGATACAAAAGCACTGAGGATGCTTTTGACGAAGGATCGACGAACTCTCGTCTGCCGTCGCCTAGACGAATAATGAGAATCCAGACGAGGACGCGGTTTCGGACTCCTCTCATGTAAAAAAAAGAAAATATCTAGCTATGCTCAGCCAACGAATACGCAAAGAGATGATCACCCTGCTTCGTACTCGACTGAGAGGGCAGGAGGAAATCGAGTGATCTAAAGTCGTCTGCGTCTACGTCGGATCTGCGTGGATAACGCATCATTCTAAACAAAACCGCCGAGGGACGGTTGTAGGACGCGTGCGGGAACATATAGAATCGCAGCAGCGCATCAAAAAGTTGCTTAGTTTGTCGAAGAACTATCGCGACATGCGAGTAGCACCGATGCCCGATATTTATTCGACGCGGATAGCAATGCAATATAACCGAGTAATGGGACGAGGACAAAGTATGGAGGTCGCGGCGAAACGCGCAAATTCGACGCGATTATTTTCATTCGGTGCAATTACATTTTCGTCCATAATTCAAAGAAGCGCTCGAAATCTCGCGCGGGCCCAGAATAGGTTATCGGGTTGACTCTCCTGATAAGTTATATGTACGATCTCTTTTAAATCTATCCAATTATATTTCTTCAAATTTTTTTCCGCCATCAGTTTGAGCTTAAATGGAATATATTACAAGTTACGCGCGGTGTTACATCTGGAAATGTCCGCGCCTTAATTTTTTTATTCGCAATCTGGATGATCGCACTAATAATGAAGCAAGCGGCACGTAAATGAGTAATTAATCCATGGCACTTGGTTATTGCATGACGTAACCGAGCTACGCTCCGCTAGCGCGAGCGAGATCGAGCGTCCCGCGTAAAAAAAGGCTCGGAGAGAAACGTCGACGAGCGGATGACGAAGGCGGCTATATAAACGCGGATTGCTGCAAGAAGCTACGCGTGCCAAAGCCGGGGTGTACGACCCCTTATCAGGGATCCGTCTCCTCTCCCCCGGCGAGTCATCGCTGCACCTTATCGGACCAAGCCGCGAACTGTCTTCGGCGCGTTAAACCGCCGCGCGTTTGTGTACGCTGTCCGAAGCCTATTCTCGAAGGCGGCTGCGATATTAATAGACAAGGCCGTCAAGACGAATCGAGACGGGACGGAAGATGTGCCTCGTGGGTGGACGGATAAAGCCTATCGGCACGAAGCCGCTCGGAAACGCGATGATCGAGGTGGCAGTCCTAGACCTAGCGAACAAAGTCTCTCGCTCTGTATCGACTCTTCTTCCATTTCGCTCCGAGGCTCCCCCGCGACTTCATTGTCGCCGATGAACGTAACGAAGACACGCAACCGTCAAACTTCCATGGCTCTCTGCGTGTGTTGCGGATTTAGTTAGATGGAGGCGAATAGATGAATAATGAAGGCTGCTTCGGATCAAGCGTCATCCTGCCTCGCCCCCGCCTGCTTAAAACGAACTTTCATCTTTTAAATAATTCCCTTTTGATAGGATGAAAAACATCGAATTGAGATTAACGCGATATTTAATCACGAGAACTGAAATTTTCATGCCGATGGAATATTGAAGTCAATATATCGATCGTTTAAAGTTCATCGCGAAAAATGCGACATTAATCAGCGTGGATTTTGTTATTTTGATAAGGTTATATAAGCACAGGCTCTTTTTATACATTATTAATCGAATTTAAACGCGCGTTGGTGGAAGAATGGTAATGTATTCCGGATGAAATCCACCAATTTCGCTCTCTGTGCTGTTTTTATCGCGCCATTGGTGAAGCGAAGACATTAACGTTAAACACGTCGGTCTGTTCTCTACGCTGAGAAAGGTTAACTTCCAATTTGCGCGAAGTCTAACCGAATCACTTGCAAGTGAAAATTACCATTTTTCAAAGCGCCGGTGAAATTGACCAAGAACTTAAAACAGCACAGGGATAGAATAGCAGCTGCCGCGTTATTTACATATTTCGAAGCTTAGCGATTACGGAATTATCGTTTGCACAAGCCCGTATTTTGAAAACGAAACATGAGACGATGAAACCTCTTCTCGGAAAAATAACTTTCCGATTACGTCGAGGATTAATGGATTTCCGGTTTCTTCGAAATCCGCGGCAATAAAATCAGAGACGTAAATTTAATGAGAGAGAGAGAGAGAGAGAGAGAGAGAGAGAGAGAGAGAGAAAGATGAGAATAGAGCGAAAAGTCGCGCGAGTACACAATGGCAGAGAGACGATTTTAACTTCGGCGAGATGCCGATAAGAACGAGTGCGATACCGCCGCGATTCCGCCGGCGAGGACTAAAGGAGGAGGCGAAACCGAAAAACAAAAGAGATATATATATTTGTATCGTGTTTGCTGTGGTATCGCGACGAGAGATAATGAGCGGGGCAGATAGGATCGGTTTTCAAGCGAGAGGATCGATTTGATTATGACGAAATGATAAAATCGACGTCACTCGTTGCAACGTGGTGACGTATCGAAGCCGCATGCGCGTGCTGAGATACGTCCGAGATGCATCGTATACACACACGGGTGCGCATCGAGAAGGCGATGAACCGGATTCTTATCAATATATACGCGTACAGCAACACACCGCCGACATGTCGCGCGATTATCACGACAGATATACCCAGTGTCCTGTACGCAATATGAGTACATCACAACACTGACTTATATTCCAGCGTTTGATAGGTGTGCGCGACGGCATTTTTGACCTTCGCTCAACGCACGCACGTGTCGTTGACAAGAATGCAGGGCTTGAAAGTGCAACACTCCGATAGCGCAACTAATTAAAAGCCGGTCCTATTTTTAACTCAAGTAGGACGCCTTGTTGTACGCAGAACGCATCGAAGACAATCCGACCGGCGCGGCGCGGCGGCGATGCACAATCGTTGTATTTTGATCGAACGCGTGCGCGAAACAAAAGAGAAGATTCGCGAAAAGTCTACGACTCGCGAATCTTCTCGATGCTCGGCAAACGATCGGTCCCGGAATAGCTTTCGCTGAACGGCGTGTTACGCGCGCAGTGCCGAAATGTTCGGCATTGTTACGTCACGAGACGAAGTTTCGCGTTAGCGTCATCGATCGCGCAAATTTGTTCCGCTCCCGTCGATCCCGTCGAGCTTCTCCACACCGTTCGACAAATAAAACCCCGACCCAGCTAGCAGAGCGAGGCATAAATTTTATATTCGCCGTTCTATTTTTGTAGTCCCCGTGATTGTTACTTCCGCGAATCTAAATCGAGCGACGAGCGATTAAAAAGCTCGGCGAACGTCGCGTATTACAATCGGCGCCGGCGGTTTACGCCGATTAGTCGGCAGAAAGAAAGAAGCTGCTCGTTCAACGCGATCGCCTATCGTTTTTGATAAAACGATACTGTTATCGTGCTTTCGCGCGGTCGAGTGTTCGCTACCCGTTCGCTCGCTCTTATAAATAATGGCGTAACAATTAGCGCTTATATATTCTATATTTCGCCTTTATTGGCGTGAATGATATCAGCCGAAACGAATTGCGGCACTTTGTCGCGTTCAATGGGAACAAATTATTCAGCGAACGAGTAATCGCCGTGAAGATGTAATCTTCGCAACAACCTTTACAATTAGACGTTATCGGTTGTCGCACACATATGTGAAGCAATTTCTTGGCAAAGTGAATCGAACTTTTCGACTGGCTCGGTCACGGCGCTTCGTGTCGTTACATGTTTCAGCGCGCGCCAACTTAATTGGCGGTGTTTAGTGCAGGCTGCTTCCGCGATAAATAATTTCGCGCGGCACTGGGCGAGAGCGACGTGGAGCGTCTTGCACGGCTCGAGCGATATTCAGTCGCGATATATTCAGGCCCGACCGCAATTTCCTGCTTTTCGGCGGCCGATTATCAGGCACGGGGCTTTTTTATCCGGCCACGGGTAAATAACTTCGTGGCCGGTGGGTGATTCGGCCTAGCTCGCTTGAAATTACTCGCTGTGTTCGCGGGCAGCATAATAAATGATTAATCGATGGAAAGCGCCGGCTGTATAATTTAAAAGTAGCGCGCGTCGCCGATAAGAACGCTAATTATGATGACGGTACATCACGCGGCCGATTTCGGCGGGATCTTCTGTTATTACCGCGGGTTCGTCGCTAATTAATCAAGCTCCCTAACGTTTTCATTTAGCCGGCTCGAACGAGGCGGCGAAAAAAATGTCGTTTCCGTTTCGCGGCTAATGTCACGTTTCCAGTGCTCGCGGCAGAAAGAGCGCGCGCAATTCGGCTGAAGCGAGCCCGAGAGTCAGAGAAACTGCGCTTTTAAGGGAAATTAAAGCGGTGAAAAATATATTTATCTGATATTTTAATCCGAATGTGACCCAAGTAAACGGTTGAGATTTTACATTTTAGCACTCTTGAGAGAAGGGGAGACTCTTTAGCCTAGTTGAAAAACCGTACAAATTAGAATCTTCAATTTATCCCTCACTCGTGCGCGCGTCTCAAACTCGCGAGCGTCCGAAATGCGAGTCCTGTATGCGTAAAAGTAATTACGCCGCAATTGCAATTACACAATCGCGATCACACTCGTGATTTAAACGCTTCAGGCTGTTCAATCACGCGCTCCTACGTACGACCGTACGACGAATCGACTGAATCATCGTATCTCGAAACTTACTCACCTTATGTCGCTCATGCGATCGAGATGCGAATCCGAGTTTCGCGCGAGGGCCCGTTTGCGCCGCGAGGAGAAAAATTCAGACGCTCTCCCGGAGCGGAGAGAAGCAAGAGGTGTTCGATGCCGAGAGAGAGAGAGGCTCGACCGATCCGTTCGTCTCGGACATTTCACAGATTTAGTATCGCTTTATTTACTCCCACCCCACCCCCCCCTCCTCCCGCCTGCCAGCGAGCGATAAGCAACGAGCGAACGCACATCGGCCACGGCTCGGTTCGGCGCGTGCACGCGCGCGCGCGCGCGTACGCAGAATGCCAGAAAGTGCATCGTAAGCTACCGGTCGGTCGGTGCACATACTCTTCCTGTTGCCATCTCCGTCTCTTTCTCGCTCCTTCCTTCTCTTTTTCATCTCTCGTTCTCTCGCTCTCTCGCTTTATCCGCGTTCGGTCGATCACCCTCCGCGCTTTCTCTCCCCGCTCTCCGCGCCGGGCCCTCCGCGCGATAGCGCTTCGGTTAACCGCTGACGTCGCTATCCCGCTTATCATCCCCTCGGCCTCCCCTGCCCCTTCGCCGCTCCCCGTCGTCCGAACCCCGTCGGCCACCCCTGCTGACACGCACACACGTGACTGCACGCATGCGACATGATACGGGATGACCCGAGAATGTATATTAAAATCGCGGAGACGGGAGACAACGTGGCCGAAAAATTCTTCCCACCGGCTGGCTGGCCGACTGACGGAGGAGGAGAAAAGTAATAAGGACGCGCGGTTTCGACGTTTCGCACTCTCGCGCCGTTTCCTTCCACGCGATGAATGCGGAAAAATGTTGCTCGAAAGAATCACGATATATTAAGAATTTTATTCGCAAAAATAATCGTTATCGCGCAACACGCTTTTCATCTCCATTTCTACGCTTTGAGATCCTCCTCCCGGTCTTTTCTTTTCGTCAAATTTAAGGTGAAAAGCTCGAACCCCCCCTCCTCCTCCTCCTCCTTCCCCCGCCCCCGAGGAGATGTGCAATGTGCAAAATTTCTTCTTATAATGAAAAGTTCAATTTCCGAGAAACGCCTCTCTCTCTCTCTCTCTCTCTCTCTCTCTCTCTCTCTCTCTTCGTGCCTCCGCATGGATGAGAATTAAATTCTCTCAAAGAGCTACGGAAAAGAATGAAACACCCCGGTTAGGTTGGTACTTATGTAATAACCTTGTAGCCTTAACCGCGCATGCGAGAAATGTCAGTGGTGCCGCCGAAAAAGGTCAGACCTTGAGGAGCCTCGAGTCTGCTCTCGTCGGGAGACGTTTAGGGAGATGCGAGATCGGGCATGACTCGGATTCCGATAATCCTGGATTACGTGTAACCACCGTTGCACCGGATTATCACAAATTTGCGCCAAAGTCTTACATCGTGCGTGTTACATTCGCATGCGAAATTCTTCGGTCGACTCGCAGTTCCTCGGTTCCTCCTCGAGAAGAATTTATCCAGACGCGTTACCTCTCCTCGCTGAATTTTTACAATTAATATTAAACATCAGCGAGCGATTTCAGCCGTCAGGCATAACAATCAAGCACAAATATGTGTCGGGTAGATTAATTAAACGTAAATTAATTCAACGTAAAATTAGCCGAGAACATGTAAAAATGAAATTACCGAGGAAAAAGCCGTATAATTAACTAAATGCAACAAATATTCGGTCGACATCTCCGTCGCTCGATCTCCCGAACTTGCGCGACGGCGGCGGTCCTTTGTTTCCCAAGCGTTAATATCCGACCGCCGACGCTGCCGTCGGACGCCGCAGAATGTCCATTTCGAAGAAGACCGACTTCACCTCGGTGAAAAGAGAAACGTCACTGCGCGAAGTAGCTTATACGCCGCATAAACTTACGGCTACCCTGAACAGCGTGTTGTGCTCTCTCGGAGCAGCACGCGCACACCCGAGCTATAGTTCGCGCGTTCGTGACGTCACCGGGTGGGTGCGTCTCGACCAGACCGGCGATAGCGTCGCCGAAGAAGACGAGGAGGACGCGGCCGCGCGAGGCTCTTCCGCGTTCCTCGCCGAGCCTTCTTCGCGGCGGAGAGGAAGGGACCGCGACCGACTCGAGGGGGGGGGGAGGACCGGTCGAGAGGGACCGAGGGTGGGAGGGGAGGATCGCGTGCGACTTGATCTCGATCGATCCACGGAACAGCCGTTAGATTTTATCGCCTCGCGACGAGGCGTCTTCGTCGTCGTTGTCGTCGACCACGTTGTCTCGCGTATATCTGATCTCTATGCTCGCCGTAATTGTCCATAATGAGTCCGTAAAAATGGGAAGAGAGGAGGAAGAGGAAGAGAAACGGGGCGAGGAGAGAGAAAGAGAGAGGGGAAGAGGAGAGCGCGTTCAGCTCGCGCTGATGCGCCGTTTGGTCGCACGCACGCACGCACGCACGCACGCACGCACGCACGCATGCATGCACGCTTCGTCTTGCCGGAGACGGCAGTCGCGCGGAATAACAGCGGAATTTGTCGTGTACGTAAACGCGTTCGCGCGCGGTAAGTGGCGAATGATAACGAGGTTCGATCTCCGCAATCGATCTGGTTGCAAGGTTGCGTAAGAAATTCGCGCGCACGCGGCACGTGAGGTCGTTTTCAAAGGGTCGAAGGCCCTCTCGGGAGGTTGTTGTTGCCGGATATTCGCGCTTCGTCGGATTCGACGTCCAATTTCGGCTGATCGGACGAAAAGTCGCGCGAAGTCGCGCCTCGCGAAACGATTATACGTCTCCGCTATCGCGCGTCTCGACGGAAGTTTCGAACGCTATCGGCGAAGTATATCGAGCAATTATGTGCGTGAAATTGTAATACGCGATTGTATCTCCCAGCGCGCTCTCTAAGCGCTCTACGGTCGGTCAAGTCGAAGCGATAAGGCGGGGCGAATAAATCGCCATTAACGTCGAGCCGATTCCATCTTAACGAGCCCGGTGTGTGATCTGCTTTGTTTACAGCCGTTAAGTTCGGGCGCATGTCGAAGAAGCAACGGGAGAAGGTCGAGGATGAGGTCAGATTCCACAGGGCGCAACTGAGGGCGGCCTCGGAGACGGCGCCGGACAGCAGCGTGTACGAGCATCAAACTCCGAGTAGCTCGGATCAACACCACCCCTACAATGGCGGGTAAGCGGGAGGGCGCGGGAGGGCGCGAGAACTCAAAGTGAAACCGAGAGAGTGCGACGTTGGACGGAGATCCCCAATTAACTTCGAGTTTAACGTTTCTCCGCCGCGCCGGATAGTTCTCCGTCTCAGCTCCGTCTCAGCTCCGTCTCAGCTCCGATTATTAATCGGTCGCTGTAACTTGACGATCGAGCCGATCCAGAATTACAGGCTAATCGCGGTGTCTCGACTCGGAATCACTTTGCTTTTGCAAGGAACAAGTAAATCGATCAAACGGTCGGGGGAAACGCGCGCGTTTCCGCGCGAAAGTCGCCTCTCTCCGAGAGATTAAAGGCGAGACGCGAAACGCGAGGACGCGAGTTTGAGCTTGGCTTTTAACGAATGAATTTGCATTTACCTTCGCGAGGCGCGAGGCTAATCAAAGTGCCCGATGCGCCGCGGCTCTCTCTTTTGAGACGCTTCGCATCGGATGGAACGTTCGCTCGTACATTTCTATGGAGCCGCTAACTTGCTAAGAGCATCTTGACGTGTACCTCTACCTATCTAATCGTTCTCGCGATGTAAACCTGAATACACGAACATCTCCTCCTTCGCCGCCGTCGTCACTGCCGTCGTCGTCATCGTTATCATCAGCGTCGTCTCGTCTCGTCTCGCCGACGGCGGCGGCGGCGGCGGCGGCGGCGACGGCAGCGGCGCCTCCTCGTCAACGAACGACTCACGCGGGCCTGTCATTTGCCCCCTGACAGCTACACGTACGGCGGTAGCGAGTACGCGTCGTCGGGCCCCGGCACCGGCGGTTATACGAATTACAATCACCAGGCGATGACGAATTACGAGCTTAGCGCCGACTACGTCGACAGCACGACGACCTACGATCCCAGGCCGACGCAGACGCAGGTCGCGGACACCGTCGCGCCCGACACACCCTCGGCAGTCACCGCGACCGGGGTGCTGCCCAGCGTGGTCACCACCGGTGAGTATTCTTTTTCCATTTATTCCAAACTTGGGCGCGCACGCTTCGAGCACGCGCGAGCGACTCCTCCCGCGCGTTGCGCGAGAAACGCGCGTGAACGCGCGAGACCTTCAATCGCGCGTGAAGGGCGCGAATGATGGAGGACGAAATGTGGAAGGATCTTGCCAGGGAGGAGTGAGGGATAGATAGGCGTTTCGTTCTCATCACGTTCAGCGCTTGCTCAATATCGAATAAAGCTTCACTCGAGCTTGAGTCTTTGCCTCCGAATAGAGTTCGATCCCCCTGAACCCCCGGCTTGAGGTTTCATCGACGTTGGTAGGAATGGGCATCGTTCGGTTGATTTGCATTTCCGTTGTCGTTGTCACGTAGAGAACAGGAATTTTTCATCGTCTCTGAAACGCGCGTCTTTTAGAGCTGCTGCTGCTGCTGTTGCTGCTGCTGCTGCTGCTGCTGCTGTTTCGGCTGCTAATAGTCAAGAAACAGGACGATCGCTTCGGTACAATGTCATCGGAGGATCCTCGATACTATATACCGAGGACTAGAGATTACGGGATTTTGGTCGAACAGAATTTCACGGATGATATCCCGAGGCAAAAACCTATGTCATACAAATGCTCAAAAGATAGGCGTAGCATTTGTAGCATTCGTTCATTTCGTAATATATTAGAAAAGCCACTGCTCCAAAAGCTACTTTTTGAACAAATACAACTTTAGAGCACTTATGAGTGCTCAAAATTCTACTTTCTTGTCCAAAATTTCATGCTCCACGTGCTCTATGTGCTCCATATGCTGCTGATAATAAAAGTTACAAATGCTCCTTGTGCTCAAAATTTTGGTATCGCACATTTCGTTCCCGAGGAGGAGAAGAGCCAGAACAATACAGCCAAGTTTATATTTTTACTTATATGCTGTTCTATTGAAGCTAGAGATACCACATTTACAAAAAGGAAGTAGTAATAATTAATTAAAATTTTTTTTAATATTTGATAAATGTGGTAGTTCCTACTTAATAGAATAGATAGACATAAGCAAAAATATTAAACTCGACTGTATTTTCTAGCCTTCCCTCCTCGAGAATGAAAGATTTATTGTGTGTAATAATGAATTGCTCAGTTGAAGTTTTTAAATGATAAATTTATTTATTGTAAAATATTTTATAATAAGAACAAATTTTATTACATAGTGTGATATGTGTTTTGATTCTCTTTATCAATATAATTTATGTTCAATTCTGGATTCGAAAATTGAGAAATAGACATAAATGATGATTGTTCATAATTATTGAAAACCGATGATTGCTGTGTAAATTCTTTGAAACATTGAGCAATAAAGTTTTTAAATTATGGATTATCGAATGACATCTGAGACGGTCCCAAAGGGTTTGAAAAAGAAATCAAATTTGAGTTGTGGTATGGGAGCGATCGTGTCTGAAAATTTAAATTTGTTGGAGTTAGCTGGTCATTTTGATTCCAAGATACTGATGACGGTGTGAGAATGGGAAGAGGTTGAGGTGTAGATGTAAAACGTTCTGTAATCGGTGTATTATTCTGAGACGCTGATAATGAAGGAATTGAATCGAGTTGAAGTGGTTGGTCACGTGAGGAACTCTGCTGCTGTGGAAGTAAATCACTTCTACTGCGGTCTGAATCATTTTTTTCAGTACTTGAAAAATGAAAAATCAAGTAGAATAGAAATATATATATATATGTATGTATATATGTATGTATGTATGTACGTATTTATGTAGAATCTACAAAAGAAATATAAATTAAAATTTAATTTGTAAAACTGAAACCAAATAAAATGTAAAATACAAAATCTTAAATAAAATATTAATTCTTTATTAATCTTTTTAACGAGGAGCATTTTGAGCATTTATAACTAAGGTAGCATTTAGAGCATTCATCTCTTTTTCCGCGAAAGAGCTCTTGTATGACATAATGCTACGAAATATGACAAGGAGCATTTGGATGACACGTCTGACAGCAACTTATGAGCTGATTATGACTTGGAGCATTGAAAATATGACGCGGAGCATTCGCAAATATAAAAGAACAATGGAATTGAGCATGTATCGCATTTAATAATGACTCGTGTGACTTCGATTTTTGCCTCGGGATATAAAGAAGCGCTTCACCGCTTGTTCGCCGGTCGATCTCGACTTAACTTCGCTCTAACGGAATTCTAAATTGTGTAGCTCAGTTACAAGGGTATTTAATGAGAAAAGTTGCAGAGTTATGAGAAAAACAGATGCCCAATCAAATTTCCATTAAGAATGAAATTTCAAGTCGTTCGGAAGACTCTCGAAGAAACAAGGGACGATAGTTTTAGAAACACCCTGCGCATAATCCAGTCTCCTTCTTCTTTTATATCTCCGGTAAACGAATTTGTTTTTAATGTCGGAAACGTCGGATTTATTCGTGAATTCATGACACGAACAATTTTATCGAAATATTGATATTTGAATTAGGGATTAATAGAGATATTAATAGCGGCTTACCGCGGTCTGTAGCCGAAGGATATACACAAAAAGATATGAAATACATTATTTAAAAATCACTCTGACGAGGGGTTGACCTCATTTGACGCTTGAATCTTTTGCGCTTCGATCATCATCATTATTTCATATAAATGCTCTTAAAGTGTTCATTTCGCTTCGCGGCGATAAAGCGATAAAATTGGAAACAACGGGCAGATTTTCGTAAATTATTGATACATACTTTCGTTTGCGTACATACATCTACAATTTGTCACCTAAATGTCTGTGCTATTTTTCCTACCATCGATCTGCCGCGCGACGCGCAAAGAATAAAATTGAAACGAGCGCACTCGCATTACGTAAGAAATGATTTTAATAAGTACGCGCTAAATTGGGAGTGCAATCTTGTGGGCGCGACTGTTAGGTTCTCGCTTCGTAACCGGCTAAATGCATTCCGGAGCACTGTCATTAACCCGCAGTTAATTGCGTTCGTGTCTTTAATATCGCCAGACCTCCTTCCATCCCACGTCCTTGTCATCGATAATGATTTCCCAGGCGAAACCGCAAATATTCCTCGCACTTTATTGCGCGGCGTACTCTCCTCTCCGCAATAGCGACGTAAAAAAGAGAATTCTCTCTCTCTCTCTCTCTTTCTCTACGAGAGAAATTTTTTTCCTTATCTTACACCTTTGCGCGTTCGGGGAGATTAAATCTTACAATTATAAGAAGCGAAGGAAGAAGGCTAAAGTATATATATCGTACATAATTCTGTGGCGTACACGGAGAGAAAAATGTTCGGTCGAATGAAGCGATGTTTTGATGAGATACGAACGATACAAAAATTCCGGTTGAAAATGTCGAAAGTCCGTGGAAATTAATCAGAAATCTTGACCTTTCAGACCTTTCTGAATTCTGATAACTCGAACCGGAATCTCTCTGTATTGTTCGTTTTCGTCCGCAAGTTGTTTCATTCAACCAAACATTTTTCTCCGTGTGTGTGTCTCGCTACACCGACACGATTAGCTCCCATTTTGCGAACGTCACGGAGATATATCCTGAAGAAAATTTCACGCGATTGATTCATGCACGTCCCTACGGACAATTCTAGTTTGCGCGCGAAGGTTTTCCAGCATATTTTGCATAACTATAAATACAGCGCGATTTACATAACCGGAGCCAAAATGATCTCGATAAATACATACATTAGAGACTTGTCACGAAGATTTCCATGCGTTAATTCCAGCTGATCGAGCGATACATTATTAAATCGTGAGATTCGGCTTGATTGAAAATTTGTTACAAAACGCACGTGGATGTGTTTGTGCGATATATATGCCGCAAGGCATAGGGATAATTATTTCATCTTGACGGGGTCGGCGCGGGGGGGAATAAACGTCGTCGTAACATTTAAACGTAATGCCACGTACATTTCACACAGATCTGCCGATGACATATGCCACGGTGGCACTTATCTTTTTATTTATTGAGGGACTCGCGTTTTCTTTTTCCATGCTTGCTCAGTCGAGACGAAGCTCTGTGTGTGAAGCTCGGCAGATGCTTCGGTAATAGTTTGAATCCAGTTCAATCGTCCATAGACGCGGAGCTCGTTTTTATCGTGTAGAGCGCCCCGTATAGAATTACCTGCTCTATTAAGAGTCTTTCACAGTTACATCTGATTCTTCGCGGGGAAAAAAAAGGAACGTCGTTGAGTCAACAGAACTGGTCAACACACGTACAGCCGTGCCGTAATTGGAGTAAATCTTCTTGATTCAACAGCAATATACCATGAAAGCCGACACTCGAGTTATTAAAGCGGTGTGCGGTGTTTAATCGTAAAAGCGACGTCGCCATTGAATCAAGAAGATCCGCTCCAATTACAGCGCTGTTGATCAATTCCATCGATTCTTTCCCCGTGCACTTGAGCAACTCTGTATCCGGCGACGACGGATTAACTGCCAAAGACCTGCGACTCGACATTCGGGATCTGTCGCAGCTCGACAAACAGAAGCAGAGCCCCGAGATCTCCGCCAAGCGGGAGGCTCCACGCGTCTCCTCTTTTCCGAAATAATGAAACACTCCTCCCTCGTAGGAGCGTTCCTCGCACACGCAGGCAGAGAGTCTATCTTGCGGAGATCCCGGTTTCTCCAGACAGGATAAATCCGAGGGGACATGCACAGTTCGCTCGTTGATAAGAGACGGTTGAAGCTCAGACATAAAATCGTCATTGCATTCAGCACTGCTATTCTCCCGCGACCTTCGTCTCAGAGGGCTCCCTCGGAGAACGGTGTCCCGGACACGTGTCTGGATACTCAGCCGGGCTTTAAGATAGACTCTACGCGTGCGCGCTCGGCTGAAATATTTAGACCTATTCGGCCCAACCTATTCGAGACCAATTCAAGCCCTCGTGAACTTTGACTTTTCGGCGCATCAGGGAAGTCTCTGTCCGCCTCGACGACCGGCAACGGCGCGGGGGGTGGCGGTACCGGCGGCGGCGGCGGCGGCGGCGGCGGCGGTGGCGGCGGCGGTGGCGGCGGCGGAGGCGGAGGCGGAGGCGGTGGTGGTAGCGGTGGCGGCGGCGGTGGTGGTAACGGTGGTGGTGGTAACGGTGGTGGCGGTGCTGGTAGCGGTAGTGGTAGTGGTAGCGGCGGCGGTGGCGGTTCCGCCGCGGCCGTCGCCGCCGGGGCAGCTGGAGGCGGAGGCGGTAGCGGCGGCGGCAGCGGCTCGCTTAGCGGCGGCGGGATCGTCGCCGTGAAGCAGGAGACCAGCGTCGAGCTCGCCGGTCTGGGCCACGGCTCGTACACGATGGTCGACTCGACGACTTTCCTGAGCAGCCAACAGCAGAGGGTCAGCAACCCATCTGAGGACGACGAAGTGCCGAGTGCGCCCAGTATGTCCCATGCGAGATGTGAGGTTGCGTTTGTGTCCCTTTGCACGTGGCATGCGCTCGTGGTGTAAAACCACCCCTCGGCTGATACCTCGCTTAAGCGCCTGGTGGCCCAAGTTTTGTTTCGGGTGGTTCCGGAGGACCGAGGGGTAAATCGGAGGAGGAACATCGGGGATCGGACCGGATCGGAGATTGTGGTGAAACTGAGGACCGGGGGGGGGATGTTCTCCGGCGGGACTTCCTCCTTCTCTTTTTTTTTTCTCTTCTTTTTCTTTCTTTTCTTTTGGTCTCGATGCATGCTTCGCAAACGTTTCTCTTACGACGATGACGGCGCGAAAGAGATGCTCGAGGAGCAGCGTGGACGTCTTTACGAAACGTAAATGCCGCGCGTCTGTGGGAAACCGTCGGAGTACTTTTATTAAAGCGCTCTTTCTCTCTTCCTTCCTCTCTTTCTCTGTTTTCTCTCTCGGAGAAGCGTGATGACGGTGAATATTCATATCACACGTAATTTTGAAAAAAATTTCGCGAGAGGCAGTCTGGAATATATATCTCGTTGAAATCGTCGTACTGGTTTACGCAACACGTTCTTCTCGTCGAAGTGATATTCGAGTATAACACCGTAGTATCATACACTTAAATATAAACATGTCCGAAAAAAAAATGCATAATTCGGTCGGTAAAATGCAGCGCCACTTGGAGAGACGGTGTAACGCGATAAAATTATTACATTGCAGTATTTTAATAGAATCTTGAGAAAAAGGGAGAATTTGCTAGCAAAATTCATTAATCAACGCGCGGTGAGTAGCGCGCGCGACTTATGAAAGCGCGTCTTATGAAAAATTCATAAACGGTTATTCAAAAATGGAAATTACTCGCTCTTTTATGTGTTACAAGCTATGCCGCCGACTCTGCTCGCTCGCTAACGCGATAAAATTATTCTAAGTGTTTTAGCGTGTGTGTTTGAATGCACGGTAAAAAAAACACACACACACACATACACACAGATCGGTCCTCCGCAGCTTCGCCCGGAAACTCGAATGTCGCGTCACGCGACACGTTGTATGTACACATTAGTTCGAAACGATATATATATATGTATATACATATATACACACATATATATATATATATTCTTTCACGCTTTGAATTCATCGCGTGCTTTTTACAATCGCACTCGCGGAGCGAAATTGTAAAATTTTGCATTCATGAGTCTTCTCATTGTTCTTCTCGCGCATGCGTATATTACTGGCTTTACGTGCGAATCCGCGGATTTCTCATCATGGAACTTCATACCGTAAGATCTTGCCGATTTCTGCAAGATTCCGCAAAATATACGTCTCACTTGCAATATTGCAATATCGGATATCTTTCCGCAGAAGGAAGCAAAGGAAAAATAACTCGTACGATAAACATAGGGAGATAATTCACCTAGTAATTACGTAAAACAGCTGGCGCGACGATTACGCAAAAATGTTTCGCCCAAGGAGTTAACATGAACCGCACGCTTGTACTGCGCCCTTCTTCATCATGCTTGAAATCTTCTCGAGGTCCTGGTTGGCTGAATAAATTCTTTCTCGTTTTGCTATTTTTTTCTCTCTTTCTTTCTCTCTCTCTCTCTCTCTCTCTCTCTCTCTCGCCCTGCTTTTTTCTTTCTCTCTTTTTCTTATATCAAACACGTCGCGCCGAGTGAACGAATTACGAGCGGGAAATCCGCTGTGGAACTTCGCAGATCCTGCACAGATCAGCGAGCTTCTCTCGAAGACGATAGCGGACGCGCACGCGAGGACGTGCCTGGTGTCGACGGAACAGATCCAGGAGTCCTTCCGGAAGCCCCAAGACCTCTCCAGATTGATCTATTACAAGAACATGGCGCACGAGCAGCTCTGGCTGGAGTGCGCCCAGAAACTGACCACCGTCATCCAGCAGATCATCGAGTTCGCCAAAATGGTTCCCGGATTCATGAAGCTCTCGCAGGACGACCAGATCGTTTTATTAAAAGCCGGTACGTAAAAGCTTCTCGCACTCCCCCGCTCCCCCCTGCACACACTACGGTCTCCCCCGAAAGAGTCGATAGTAAATCGCTTTGTCGTTCTTTTACGCGCGCGCTCCTCGAAACGCCTCGAAGAGCTTTCGCGAGAAAACGCATTTCAACTCCGCAGATTAATTATTCTGTTTTTGATCCTTGAATGGCACAGGTACGTATATAATCGCATTATCCTATTGCTCATTTAATCCTTGGCATACTCTAGCGCAACCCATTGGACTCGATTTTAGGTTTTGAGATTTCTCCCTGAGCAGACTTTTGAGCGATTTTAATTATTCATAAGGGTCAATATTTCACGAGGTTTTTGTCCTTTCTTAGAGATCTTACGAAAAGCAAAGAAGATATGCGCTGATTTCTTTGTAAACGAAATAAATCAATCCTCACAAATTTTTTATACACACTGCGCTGCCACACCGAGGATTGGCAAAAATATCGCGAGCGACTTCACGTTTCTCTAACGTGAAAATCGATATTCTCTCTCGATTCGCATTCTCTCGATTATCACTTTCCGACATTCTCACGTTTCATCGAAAATTTGACTCGATATCGGAAGTTTCGCAAAAAGTTCATCGATCTCATTTCTTTCGTTGCGTTGGCCAATCAATGAATAACAACACCGTAGCCGCAACAGCAAGCGTATTCGCTACTGTCTCTCGTTTCGTTCGCGTGGCAAAGATAACGCGTCCGTCTCGGTCTTTCGACGGGCTTAGATAAGCGAACACGTTGAAGAAGAAGAAGAAGAAGAAGGAGACGTTGCGCGCCGTGTATGCTGATATCCTATTAAAATGTGACAGGTTCCTTCGAGTTGGCTGTGCTACGAATGAGCAGGTACCTAGATCTCCAGCAGAACTTCGTCCTGTACGGCGATGCCCTGCTGCCGCAGGATGCGTTTTACACGACGGATACAGCGGAAATGAAGCTTGTTTCCTGCGTGTTCGAGCTGGCCAGAAGCGTAGCCGAACTGAAGCTCACCGAAACCGAGTTGGCGCTCTATAGCGCGGCTGTTCTACTTAGCCCTGGTGAGTGACGCGAAAGAGAAAGAGAGAGAGAGAGAGGGGGGGAGGAGGGCAGGGACGAGAACATACGTACCGCACGGGGGTGCCCACATCCCCGCGCTGGATGGAACTTTCTAAAATTATAATGAAGAAACGCAACGCGGCATCTCACGCCTGAAATCTCGGTGCACGATCCGACACTCGCGCTATAAGTACCGCCTTACTTGCCGACGTTAAGGTTTTTCTTCTTCTTTTTCTCTTTTCAGAAACACTTTCAAAACTTTCAGAAACGTAAAGTCCAATTTACCGTATTTATAGCGGGTGTCCCACTTTCACCGCGTTATTTTACAGCAGCAAATTCTCCGGTCAATTTGGCAAAGTTCTTCCCCGGCGAGAACGTTGAGGGAGGCGCTCATTTTTCGCGCGGTTGTTCAATTTTTCACATTCCCTATCACCGCGGCTAAGCGCCAAATTAAAATTTCATCGCGAGCGAATTGAACTCCTCCCGCGTGAGATGAAAAGTGTAATATCTTGACGTGCGTTCGACCGCCTGAGATCTAATTCGCCAAGGTTCTTCCTCGATCGCCCGTAATTCGGAGATTATCAGTGCCTCGACATTTCCGTCGATGGAAATCCAACGTCGAATCGGTCGACAAATCTGTCGGATTAAAAATTCACGCAAGGTGCGCGAGGTGTGTGTAAACATATATTTAAACATTATATGTAAACATATATTTAATTACAATTTAATTACAAGTTTTACGTGATCAAGCGCTGCGAATACAATGTCCACGTTTGCACCGCACTAAAGTCGAGCCTCGAGCTGCGAAACGAAATTCAAAGTCGAACTTCGCGCACGCGCCCGTTGTCCGAGATCGTATCAGCTGGCGTTATCTCATATTTCTACTCCCCCCGCGGTTACGCAAGCGGCGTGCTTGAGGGTTCACTGACTTTACACGGCACCTTGCGTAACAATCCACAGATCGGCCGGGACTGAAGGGCCTGGCGGAGATCACGAGGCTGTCGCAAGCGGTGATCAGGGCGCTGAGGTCGGAGCTCGAACGGAACCACGTGACGCCGATCAAGGGCGACGTGACCGTGTGCGACGCGATCCTCGCCAAGATACCGCAGCTGCGGGAGATCTCGCTGCTACACATGGACGCACTGGCGAAGTTCAAACGGTCGCAGCCGCATCTCGAGTTCCCGGCCCTCCACAAGGAGCTCTTCAGCGTCGACAGCTGAACGAGCGACGCGGCGCGGAGCGTCGTCCCGGCGCTACCGAGCGGACAGGAACGCGAGTAGCGTCGCGGACCTTGCTCGGTCAAGGTGAGTCCGACCGTCCCGGAAGAGAAAGAGAGAGAGAGAGAGAGAGAGAGAGAGAGAGAGAGAGAGGGAGAGCAAATGAAAGAAAAAAGAAAGACATATACCGATGGATTTCGCGGCCCCGGGGAAGCGGAAGTACAGCGTGCGACGCTTCCTAGGAAGAATCCTCGAGAGCCGGCGAGAACGATCTCGATATGACGAAGAGGGCGAGCGTGACGGATCGATCGATCGACCGTGTGGGTCGGAGATCGGTCTCTCTTCGCGAAGCGATCGGACGAGGTTGTTGCCGGTGCTGGCAACGCGAATCACGGCAGTCACTCATGTTTGCGTTTAGCCGGTTCGACCACGAGTCCGCGGAGACGATCGGAGACTCGCGGCTTCAGCGCGAGTACTTTTAAGACGATTTATACCGCACCGGCCGCTCGGAGAGGCGAGGGGAACGACGATGTCGGCTAATGCCTGTCCGGATCTCTAGAGTTTAATGTTGCGTTACTTTTGACCCGAGTAATGGATATCACGACCGACCCTTTGATTCCCATCCAATCATTTCGTCTTGTCGAGTTTTTGAATTGTTTTCATTCCGGAATCTTTAATCGAAGCGTTAAGACGCGTTTTTTACTTTCTGAACATTGAATTTTAACCCTTTAACCGCTACGGTCGAGATAACTCGAGTGTGGAAAAAAATGGCGGCCTTGCTACGATCGAGTTTACTCGATTTGGACTTTCAATGTGTGTGATATTGCGTGTGGTATTTTTTTTTTAATTTTTTTTAATTTAATTTAAAAATATGAATTTTTAAAAACCTGGATCATTAGCAAATTATAAAATATTTTATAATTGTAAAAATAACTCAGCAAAGAGGGTCATACCGGTCATTTAATGTCTCAGCAGTTAAAGGGTTAATCAAATCGCGAATCATCTGTGGACTGTAAGCGGACACGGAAGAAATCGTTGAATCAAAGTCACCTTAATCGATAAACAATTGATTCGAAAGTACAAAATATATGAAATGACATAAATATTTGCCAAAAGTCATCAGTATCTTTAATCGTTTCTTTCAGCATGAAACGCAAATGTTAGGAAAATTTCTCGTTTTACGTATAATCATGTGGGTGCATTATTAAGGAGGAATTTGATATATATATTATATTTAATATTACATTTTAATATTTAATGTTACATTTTCGATTCGTCAATATTGTTTCTATAAGAGTTATAAATGGCCGGCCGTCTGACATCGCCGTTTACAAAATCGCTCGTCCGAGTAGCGACATATTGAACATTCGGGAGTTCTGCATCGTTATATTGTATATATACATTCTCCTCACTGTTTACACACACAAGAAACACGCATGAACGTATGCACATACACGTACACGTACACGTACACACATATACATTGCACGGAAGTAGGAACGAGCGAGTCTCGAGACAAATGGTGACAATGAATGGAACTCCCGATTGTGTACGTGTTTACAAATCTTTTTACGATGTTTGATTCGCGTGCGACGAACACGACGTAACAAAACGGCAAACAAGATGCCAGTTTTAACCCTCCGACGATGAACTACATGCTGATTAGTCAGAGTTATCGTTTTCAAGAAAGTTGGAAAAAAATCCTCGATGTACCTTTTCATTTGCAAAAATAAAATAATAACTACAAAAATAAAATAATGCGAGAGATAAAGAGGAACTCGGTTAAAATTGGATATAAAAGTCACTTCAATTTTACGAATCAACGATCGTATTTTATTAATTATTTTAAGTTGACAGTAAGTTTTTAACAAAATGACTGCTACGAAAAATAATAAACGAGTCAAACTCGTCAGTTATCGTTGGAAGGATTAAAAGCGGCGAGATAGAAAATATTAAGTTTTGTAAATATGCTTGTACGGTTACCAACAACCTGATCCGAAAGCAGATCGCTTCTCTGTTTCTCTTTCGGAAACGTCCTCGATTCTACAAAAAGGCGATAAAAATAAGTCTTGTGTCTGATAGCAAATTTTTACAATTCGTAATAACTACGTCAAATTCCATCCTTCTATTTTCTTTTCCCTAATCGGCTCTTTGTTGCACAAACGTTACATTTTCTGAATGCCTTTTTAACTAACGAATTTTTTACTTCGGGGAATCAATATCGCCAATGGACGTCTTGAACGAGAAATCAAACTGTAGTAACGACGAATGAATGGGATTTCAAATGGGAGGCTGAATTGAATTTTTAATAAAAAATCGTGGCTAGAGGGGCCTTTTTGGAATTTTTATCAATTCTACACTAATCTACTCTATCAATCTCGACGAAACGTTGAAGAGGAGTTATTCGCTAACTACGATGTTTTGTATGGAGTGGAAACTTTTTTAATCCGAAAATCCGATTCTCACTCCGGCTCCCATTCATTGGCGGTTACTGTGAATCGGATGGTTCGTATTCCGAACGATCAGCCTACCGGATAGCGTATGCGGTTTATCTGAGTTCGCTAACGAGCACATTGTACAACACGTTAACTTATTTGTTTTTTTCTTTCTTTCGTTGCTAATATCTCGTTAATATTTCTCTTTTCGTTTTAAATTTAAACGTTAGGCTCCTCCTAGGTATGCGTCTAAGTATATCTTAAGATACGTCTCGTTCGTAATGAGCGTAAAGATCATAGTCGATAATTCGTACAAATACGTATGTTTATTTCTGGTACGTCGACACGAGTGAAAACTTTATCGCTGAATAAATGGATCTTAAAATTACGAAAGATGTTCCAAAGAGATACACACCGATGGCGGAATCTTTCCAAATTCATACGTCGAAATTTCTGTCGACAAGAATTTGCATGTCTCAGTGACGAAATTGCATTTAACTAATTCTAAGATCTAGGAGTAATTCGTCTTTAATTTTATACAAATTTAAATCTTACTAATTCGTACATGTAGAATTTATAGGCGGCAATATATGACGGAATCTTGCTTCTTATTTAATTTAACTATATGTACATATTTTTATTATCGCGATAGAAATTTCAAATTAGAATAGAAGATAACAATTTCGACAACAAGGAATGTTTCGAAATCTCGGAGACCTTTAATCGAAATTTCTCGGGATTAATTTTTACTGCTCTTGCGCCTTTTTGGGACATCTTTGCATTTCTCGCTCGCCAACGCATCATGAAATTATGTTAAATATCTAGCTTGCCGCATCTATTGTTATATTATATCGGATCGAGGTGTTGTTGAGCAAATTAGCGCGTCCCGATCCCTTCGGATCGGAATGTTCGGCCTTTCCGTCAAAATTGCACGTCCGGTAGGCTCTCAAGCATACGTCACGATGTCACGATTGTCTTGAGACAGTAAAAGTGTCGAGTGTTCGAGAGACAACCTATTGGTTGGCCGTGTCGGTTCTCGGTCGAGTGATTCTTCCTAGGAAATGTCGTGACAACGCTGAAGGTAAATTTAGGCAAATAGGAAAATTAATAACGCGAGGGTAAAATCACGCGAGGGGTAAAAAGAAACGCATCGAGCTGACTACAGCGCCGGTGTATGGTCTTGCCGATTGTCGACAGCAATTTTTGGAAATTTTTACAGCGTAATTACGCAGCGAAAATTTCGCGACTTAACTTTTCACGTTCGACACTTGTTCGCCGGCTGGGAAGCTAAGAAAGTCGAGCATAATTTCCGCGATATAATCGCGGTATTATTTTTTGCTTCCCAGTCGAAGAAAGTGCATAACGATCCGTATAATTCACTAATAATAAATTAACCGTGCAAGAGAGTGGCAGTTCGCCGCAATTTTAATTTCGTCTCGTTTTCTGTCGAGTTTCGAATTAGCGTCACTCTTCGTCGCACATATTCCACGTGGAAATTTGGATGAATTTTTAGATAATTGTGTCACACACACGCACACACACATACATATACACACACATACACACACACACACACACACACACACACTGTCACGCGTGTAACACCTCAAACACGAGAAACGGATATATATTACCTACGCAAGGATACATGTTACTTAGTCATTGCTCGTTCTCTTCTTCTGAGTTTTTCTCTGAACAAAATGTGACGGAGAGACACAAGTTTGACACGAGTAAATGATGAGCACTTTGTCCGATCGCACGCGTAGATCATCTACTGGCGTCCGGCGTATCGCGATAGTCCCCACACGCGCGTCCATCACGACGATGACGACGACGACGACAATGACGACGATGACGATGACGATGATGATAAAGACGACGACGATTTTAACGTCGGGAAAAACATAACATACATAACTTGTCGACTGAATAGTTCTATACTCACGGTGCTTACGACAGGGAGCAAACCAGGTACAAGCGTTGTTTAACCGTATGTTCGTCTCCTTTCTGTTGCAGATTATTTCCTTCGTAATGAACGTATTGGGCCTTAAATAAATATAACATTGTTATATATAAAGTATACATAAAGAAAAGCAACATAAAAGTATATACAGAAGAAATATAAATATAAATATAAATATATACATAGTGTGAATGCGTATGTATATACACACGTACACACACATACGGACGCGTGCACGCGCGCGCGTAACACGCGTCTCACCGACGCAGCGGTGTATACACATACGCGTATCGTTATAAGATATTATTATATAGACGGAATAAAACCGCGAATGCGTGCGAAGCGAGCGAGCGAGCGAGCGTGCGAGCGAGAGAATGTGCGTGTGTGAGTGAGAGAATGTTCAGAGGTCAGAGAGTATGAAAGAGAGAGAGAGAAAGAGAAGGAGAGAGAGGGAGAGAGAGAGAGAGAGAGAGAGAGAGAGAGAGAGAGAGAGAGCGAAAGGAAGAAAGCTGAGAAAGAAATCGGTTGTTACGATACATACATAAAGTATATATTGTATTAACTAAACAAAAGAAAATAGAGGGAGAAGAGAGGGGGCGAGGAGAGAACGGTGATCAACCGAGTCCCGCCAGGATGGTCCGCGGACAACGCGAAATAAATAGCGCGATCGAGGACTGGCGTACCCGCTGCGGGCAGAGAATCTCGATCGGGCCGCTCGCGCGACATAGTGACCGATAATTATCGCACCGTCGAACACGAGGGAGTTGACGAGAGCGGGCGAACCCTACGAGAATAGCGTCGACGAAGGGTTAGAGCTTATTGCAGACGGCGAGGAACCGCGGGACCCGCGAGGTGAAGTCCAGGTCGTGCGGCTGAGCGCGACGACCACGTCGCCGATGGGGATGCGTTTTCGTCGCGCGAGTCGAGTTAGTTTTCTCTCTCTTCCAACACCGCAAGATTCCGCTCGTCCTTTTTCCGTTCACCTTCGCCGCCGCCTGCACTGTGTATGTATCGAGCGCGGCCGGTCAAATTGATCGCCACGTGAAATCAACCGAGCGAAGTCGAGTCGCGTGATTGAATCGGACGAGACGACGATCGCGGCGAGCGGATGTTCGATCACAAAAGCGAAACGCGGGAATCTTTCAGGAACGTCTCTATAATCGCGAAGTCATGAAACGCAAGCAAAACGATAGAAGTGAAATATTCGAAGTAAGCTGGAACTGAAAGCTCGACGAGGGTCGATAAGAAGGAAACGATGCTTGACGAAAGCATTCCTTGTCGTTCGTCGTCGTTGTCATCGTCGTCGTCGTCGTCGTCGTCGTCGTCGTCGTCGTCGTCGTCGTCGTCGTCGTCGTAGTCGCTGATACGAGCCGCGAGACGATCGGACCTTGTTCTCTCCGCTCGTACAGCCGGGGACGCGAAGGAGACGCGCTTGTTCGTTAAATATCCGACGTTGCAGCACGAGTCTTACCAATTTCACGCTTTATTCGCTCAATTACGTGGGCCTCCACGCTTGGGCCTTGCGCGGATATTCAACGAATGAACGCGCATCCTCCTTGCTCTGCACTTGGCCGAAACGCTGAGACTTCGTCGGTGGCGTCACGCGTGTTCCCGTCCGCCGTCGCGACTTCGAGTAGTGATTCGAGTATAGTTCTCTGAGCTACTTTAGCATAAATACATATATAAATAAATAAATGAATAAATATATAAACATATAAATAAATAAATAAATATATAAACACTATATATAATGAGAGTATATTTCGGCGGGACGATCGAGATTCGACGGTCCTCGCGATATTAGTAGATAATATGCACACGATGTGAACGTTAGCGAGAAATCTCGTCCCTGGACCAGCCCGGCCGGACCTCACGGATAATAGAGACACGTAACACGCTCACGAATCAATTCATACGTACATACATGCAGACGTCACATAAATACATACACAGGCAGAAACAGACAGAAAAGAAGAGCGAGAGAGAGAGAGAGAGAGGGAGGGAAAGAGAGAAAGAGTGAAAGAGAGTGAGAGAAAGAGGAATGAAAGAGAGAGAGAGAGAGAGAGAGAGAGAGAGAGAGAGAGAGAGAGAGAGAGAGAGAGAGAGAGAGAGAGAGAGGACGAAAGAAAGAAAGGGTATGAAAGTGAGAGAGTGGAAGGAAAACGTTACATGAATTTAACGCGCGAATGCGACTTCACGGATACAAGCGTAGATAGAGCTAATCGACCGCATTATGCGCGCGCGTTAAAAAAAAAACATTTTTTTGGTACTGTACGGCACTTGTATGACGCGTCTCTTTATACGTAAATCCGTACTTCTTATATGGATAAAAAAAGAAAAAAAAAGAAAACGGGAGAGAAAGAGAGAATGAGAGAGAGGGAGAGAAAGACAAAGAGCGAAAGCGAGAGAACGAGAGAGAGGAAGAGAGAGAGAGAGAGAGAGAGAAAGAGAGAGAGAGAGAGAGAGAGAGAGAGAGAGAGAGAGAGAGAGAGAGAGAGAGAGAGAGAGAGATAAAATAGCCCGTCGTCGCGCGCTGAGACGCCCTCACGAAGCGTTTATATACGCACCGTCATCGGCTTTCCTCGCTGTCGTCGATCGTCAATCGAGGATCGAGACGTGAGATTGCGGTGGATCTTCAGATTCATAGTTTTTCGCTCGCCGTTGTTCGTCGAGACACTTTCGCGACCGTCCGCGTATTTTTAGACAAGAATTGCGTCGTCGGGTGCCGGGCCGATTAAAAAGTATTCGTACGCCTTCGCGTCGTTGCTAAGTATAAAGTTATATTGTTAAGAGGGCTGGAATTAAAAATAAAGTGTATTCGTACGCCGACATTCATTGGCTATAAATAACGCGCGTCGCTCGTTGTGTCGCAAAGCAGCGGAACTAAAAGTGGCAAGAGGACGAGATCGCGCGCGCAATTCCGCGCTCCTGTTGTAAACATCCTTAATTTATTATGTGCGATACATTTGCATTCTTTGTAAATCTTCAAGAAACAGCTACAGATCTCGCACGCGATGTCCGACTTCAGGAATTCGCGTGTTGTATAGCCAGAGATGTGAAAAGGCAAAAAAAAAAAAAAGAAAAGGAGAAGAAAGGACGCGGCGTTTTCAGTCGTATTGTTATTTATAGCGATGACGTGCGAATACCATTTGTTTCGTTGTATAGTGAACTCTTTGTTTTAAGGCGCATTCAGAATATCGCAGCTAATGATGTAAACCCTAAACGGTATAACCGGGGTCTGACAGACCGTTTCTAATTGCATCAACGTTATCGAAACATTACGAGACACAGCGCTACTATTATTTGTTTGTATTTATAAAGTCTAATATAAATGAATAAAACCTAATTTTTTTTTCACACGTAGCTCTTTCGGACATTTTATTTTGTTTTTTACGTGTGTGCGTTTATATTGTTCGTAAGCTACGCAGCGTCCGTCGGCCCCATTTACGTTGTATTACGTAAGTAAAATAGTTTATACTGTTTAGGGTAGCGGCTTCCGAGACGAATTATCACGCATTTAACCCATTATCGTTCCATCCTCGAGCAAGTCGAGCTTCTCTCGTAGTAACACAACTTTTACCCTAAATATTCCGAGATATTTTCTTCGCGCGGAGATTTTTAACTCGCCATCTGTGTTCATCGTAATCGTTGTTTCAAGTTATTCGCACCTCACTCATAATTTTCTTCGGCATAATATAGTTCGGCGGACAACACACGGATAGACACACGATATAATATAATGAACGCGATCTTTAATGGGTTAAATACACCGGTATCTCTCGTGGCTGCATAAATTTGCAGCCGAGTATCAGCGGTCGCGAAAGTGTTAATAATGTATTATCGTTAATTCCCTATACCTCGATTTATTGTCCGTTTGTATGTTTTTATATTTCCGGTGTTTTCGAGATATTGGATACTAAGATTACAGATTACCGATTATCAATTCGATTCGATACGTTGAAGCACACAACGAACGAACATAGCAGCTTGAACGATAATTTGTATTTCTCAAGTAGGTATGCATTGACTTGGAGAAATGAAATCATTGTTTATCTTCTTAATGTTACCATGAGCTTTATGCATAATAATTTAGTACGATGATGAGGATATCTTTTTACGCAGTTAATATGTTAGCTAAGTAGAGAGAAAGAGAGCGAGAGAGAGAGAGAGAGAGAGAGAGAGAGAGGGAGAGAAAGAGAGAGAGAATGTTGATATTTCGTTATTTGTGTTCGTTAAACATCTAGCGTAAAATTGAAAAGTACTAATTTTAAGGTTGAAACATTATTTTAACACTTGAGTCTATTTATACCATTTATTTTATCTTTTAAGATGAACGTTTATTCCTTTTCTTTTTGAATTTGCGAATTTTTAACTTTTTAAAACTTTGACCTTTCGATTATTGTCTTGTTCGATTTTTAAACATTTAAACTTTTGATCCTTCAAATGCTTTGATTTTTTTTATCTTTTGTTATATTGTTTGTTGCAACCTCGTATCCTCGTGTCGACTACTGAGGAAAAAATAAAAAGCTCCTTCAATTTCGGATTTTCAATTCTGAAGTCATTGCAAGGGTAGCGTAGATGAGGAGAGAGCACTTTGTGCTTTAACATTCAACCGACTGAAATACCGATAGTAATGCTTGAGAATCTCAAATTACCATAAAATTCTCAACTAAGTCAAGTGGGCATAAGTATTTTTTTGTTTATTGTTGACATCAAAGTGATTTACTTGTTACGAAAAACAAAACAGCTTTTAGAGAATAAAATCAGATTAGACGAGCGAGAGAGAAATAATTCTCGGATGCATATATAGAGTTGACTTTAACGCAATGAACGGATTTCTGTGCACAGTTTTGAAATTGCGCATTCTTTGCTTTTTTGATATATTTAATCGCAACCAAGCTATAGCATTGTCACTCGCTTATTTTATATTTATAGTTAACTTTATACTCATCAATTGATTTGTTCTCGATGCTGGACAACGCAAAAGATTCATTCGCATAAGAGGAAATAATTTGTTTGTATCCAAAAATACAGGCACAGCTTTAATTGCTTTACGCATTCGCAGAAATATTTACATTACATTTTTACATAACCATTTCCTTCGTACAGATTTGAATGAAATTCCCGACGTTTTTGCAAATTTTAGATTTACTCAAAAATTACAGTTTTACCGCTCGCGTTTTCACTCCTTGGCGATTGATAACAGATTTGTTTAACCTTTTTCAACATAAAATCATTAATGTTACTTATATAGACCTTATATTTTCTTTTAGACAAAAGTGTTGGTACAATTATCAACGTTATTGTTAAGTTTGATCAATATCCAATAATATCTCAACTTGTGACAACAATTATAACCCGTGTCCTCTGCGCCAAGCATCATAGACTTATTCGTAAACACTTAATTCGACTAATCGATTGGAGAAAAATATTCTACCTTCTTACTTTCGGCGATAGGATCAGGGAGAATTTGTTTTCGCGCAATACTGTTGCAGGCAAAAGACTCGATATGTGCATCCGAGAGAGTCGAATGCGATCAAGAGAAGATCGACGAGAGCGACGGCGAATCCGTCGGCGGTGCGCCGACTGACACGCTTTCGGACGGTTGCATATACTTATAGCGAAAAAAAAAAGAATTAAGAGAATGCATATTATTCTGCCGATTAATGAGTAAGTGCGTAGGATCCGTTTAACTGTAGATCGAACACGTACACAGTCACGTTACGCGCGAGTGCAAAATGCATACCATCTACGACCCTTCTTCGCTCACATCTCTATCCCTTTTACTCGAGAGCAACAAACACACACGTATACACATAGATATACACACCGTTGCACACACGGACACACACACACACACACACACACACACACACACACACACACACACACACACACACACACACAAAATACACACACACACACACACACACGCACACACACACACGCACACACACACGCACACGAGATACACATGAATACACATACAATAAGGCGCAACACGTACACGCGCACGCACGTTGCAATTAGACGTTATTATCGCAATTTGGAGTTAAATTTTATAATATATAATATATAAAAAATATATATATATAAAATAAATAAAAGTTGACGGATATAATATAGAGTTATATTAAATATCTAAACGAAGGTGCTCGTGTGTTTCTCATGTGCGTACATATTATTCCCCCGATTGCACAGGCAATCGAAATCTCCCTTCTCTCGCGTCTCTAATTAGCTTAAACGGATAAGAAAGATATTTGCGTACCGCAAAGGTTTTCACGCTGCAAGTTGTTTCAATTGTTTCTTGCCGTGTTGCAGTCACTTTTCTTAACTTATATTCTACTTGTACACTCTAACACATTTAATACGTGTGTAACGTTTTCAACGAGAAAGATTTAACGTGTAAAAAGAATAGAAGACACATTTAGTCTACTGAATTAAAGATTATTTATGCTAAAACAGCAATACATTCCGCTCAAGTGCTTCCTTTATTCGCAAAGACCAACGAGAAAATATTTCATTATTTATCATTCTTATTCTATATAATTTAATTCAGCAACTATTCCTCGCGCTTAACTTTTGAAGAATAATTAACACAACAATTTAACTGATGTACAATTCTACATTCAAAGATATTTATAATTAATGTAGCTTTTTTTATTCTAACGACGATTTGAAGGTAATTACAAATTATTGTGATATAGATTTAATTGTCTTGAAAATACAAGATAATACAGGATAATACAAATACAGGATAAAGTATTCTTTGTCCCAATAAGAGAAGAAACATTCGAACGAATCTCACTTTGAATATTATCGAAAGAAGAGATATCGTATACTTCGATATATCGATGTGATGCGATACGACAACGCAGCGCGGAGAACTGTCAAACATCAAGTGGCGTATGAGTATACACGAGCGACTGAGGAAGAATGTCGTCTACCAATTCCTCTACCTATCGGCGTGCCAAGTAAGTTTAACGATAGTTATAGAAATATTATTACACTCTATTATTGATACTTCTGAAACTTTAATACATGTAAAATTTCCTGTTTCCATCGTATAACTCCAGATATTCGATGTTTTGAGGTTATCTTAACTGCATATTATACTTTAGCATTCTCTGTGATATATATATATTACTATTATTAACATATCAACTCTATTCTGTATCTATAGATTGTATTATGTGTTCATAATTTATATTTGCAGCTTGAAAATTGCACCTGGTGCGGTAGTATGTGAAGAGAGTATCCTGAAAGGTGATATCACCATTGGTGCGAAGACCATAATCCATCCCAGGGCATGCATTCTAGCAGAAGCAGGTCCAATTATTATTGGAGAAGGCAATATAATTGAAGAAATGGCAACTATAGCCAATAGGCAAGTGTCATGTGTCCATATCTTTCATTAAGCAGATAGTGTAATAATTTACCATCAATGTAGGTTGCCACCTGATGCTCCTGAGCCCACAACAGTACCAGTGCAGATAATAGGAAATTATAATGTTTTTGAAACTGATTGTACCTGTGAAGCGTTTAAAGTTGGTGACAACAATATCTTGGAGATCAAAGGTGTGCACGATTGATTGCAACTTGATATTGTTTGATATAAATACGATGATTCAATATAAATACAATTTATCCTATTCTTTGCAGCACACGTTGCTCGCGAAGTCGAGTTAACCAACGGTTGTGTTATAGGAGCTGCATGCTCTTTAACAGAAATAGAAAGTATACCAGAAAATACAATAGTATATGGAAGTGAATGCCAACGTAGGGAAATGAACGACAAACCATACGTAAATATATTTGTTATTTCTTGATAACCTTAAAAGAGTAAACGGTTATTCTGCTTTTTGGATGTTCCAGCCTCAAATCGGACAGTTGGACTTTCTGCTAAAGGTTCTCCCTAACTATCATCACTTTAGGAAATCGAATATAAAGCCGAAAGTCGCACCCGCAATCTAATTCTTCGTAACGAAATGGCAGAATACTTCTGAATTCCTGCGCACCAATTGTGTTATAAATATTAAGCGAACTTTATGCTTATAATTATCCGGCAACACAAAATATATTTATTTGTTTATAAATACTATGTATAATAATTTCTTTGTGTAACAATAGTGTGTATCTTATTGTAAATCGTAGAATATATAATTTTTTTGCATAATTCAGAAAATTGTTAAATGCTTATCGAAGCCCTTGTTACGATAGATAATATCAAGCTTTGTTAGATAAAAGTTCTTTTGGATGCTTAATCCAGATTCGAATTCCCCTTAGCTGAGATTCAAACCAGACGCTCAACAGGTCTTCTTCGACACCGCTGAATGGCGCTAGGAATTCTGCCAACCGCATTTTAACGGATCAGCGCCGAATATACTTGAGTTCTACAATGTTTCCAGTATATATTTATAATAAAAGATACATACAATAAAAATTGAATTATTTTATTGAAAACTAAAAAAGCTCAACCAGAGAAAGACTTCAGATCAATTTTAATAAAATTAGTTTTTATGTATATATTTTTGTATTGAAACATTTTATCTTCGTACATACAAGAGTTGCATGTCTGTGTAATGTTAATATCAATACCTAAAAAGTTTATCACATTTACCGTATGATAAATATCGCAGAATCTCTCTTTCGACTTTCTACAAAAAGTACTTGGATAACCAATTGAGAAGATAAAAAACAAAAATGAAAGTAACTCTCCCCGCTTTCTCGACGAACGGACACGCGAATAGAAATATTAGCCACTCCGTCTCTTAACCAACTCTCCGGGGAATTTAACGGCGTAATGCTAAACGCTACATCTATGAATATGAATTAGCGTCTCGTCGGGGGGGTTGGTTGCGAACCATTTACCGCTTCCGTCAGCTTAGCGGAGCGTGCCAGTGATGATCAACCCTCCCTTATATTTGGACTTGCGAGAGAGCCGGAAAATAACACGCCTCGCGCAGGAAAGAAATTATAACAAATAGTCGAACGTGGACGTTAAACTTTTGTCGACCAACAGTCCAGATATCAATAAATTAAATGCATCGATTCAATCCGCTCGTCTTCTCAAATTTTCCAATGCGTCTCCTACGTTTGCGATTCATTCCTGAAAAAATATCTCAAGGTATAGGCAGACGATATATACCGTAACATCAATATTTACCCAAGACAGAAGTTTGGCTGTCGCATTTGGCGCTAAATGCAAAGCGTAAGTACGGAGCGGACGCGATGCGCAACAATAAACAATTGTCGTGATTCCGGAAACACGGGGCTGTAATTAATTTCACTGATAGCTGATCGGGGTCAGACACCGACTTAAGTGTATCCGCGCGGCGCGGCGCGGAGTCACGAACGCGCCCTTACTTTAATGATCGGCCGCGGCAACCCCCCGTGACGTAACTCTTGTCGTGAAAGTGGTGACTCGAGAGAGCTGTCATATTTTGACGTCCGCAGCGGGCGTCGGCGAAAAGAGAGAAAGGGTGCGTGCGCGTGAGACGAGGAGAGAGAACGAGAGAAAAAGATTATTTTTCGAGGGGGTTGAATCCGCAGTCGCGGAGAATCGCGAAGGAGAAGCTAACAAGGGGAGAACTCCTAATGCTTTCCTGACAAATTTACGTAAGCTCCCTCCCTCTCTTTTTCCTTTCTCTTCACGAGACGGTATCACTCGCCTCGTCCACGAGCATCTCGTTGCGGTTGATTTATTTAATAATCCGCATTTCCCTTAATGCGGGAAGATTCTCCGCATTAAGCGCCGTCCGGATATAATTGTGCGAAAGAGGTTGTAATTGAATCGTTGAGTAAAAGCGTCCGCCCATAATCTGCGTAATCTTTTAGGTTTTTCCCGACACATATCGCGAAAATATTGATAAATATACAGGGTGGCCTGTATAACTCTTAACATAACTCTTAACATAACTCTTAACAGTTGAATATTTCGGAAACTATTTGTCAAATCAAAAAGTTGTTCATGAAAAAGTTTTATGTATTCGAGGAGCCTTTCTAACTACATAAATATTTTAAGTTACTCCCTGCCCCCCTTAAAGGGGGGCAAGGGGTAACTTTGCAATTTCAAACGGTACTCCCTGTAAAATGTTAGATGGTTGGGTTCTACGGTAAAACACAAGTAAATTTTGTCTAAAACATTTTTTTATTTGTCTAATATTTTTTGAGATATTTGAGGAAAACTTGATAACTTTTTCAATATTTAACTTACGATATCTCGCTAACTACTTGTCGGAAGAAAAAATGGTACTAGACTTTCTTGCTTTATTTAGTCTCAAGAATATATTGTTACAATAGCGCCCCGACTTTTGTTAACTTACTGAGTTTTGGAAATTTCAAAATCTTCAAATTGCTCCCCTGCCCCCCTTAAAGGGAGACAGGGAGTAACTTAATATTTATGTAGTTAGAAAGGCCTTTCGAATACATAAAACTTTCTCATGAACAACTTTTTGATTCGACAAATAGTTCCCGAAATATTCAGCTGTTAAGAGTTATGTGGGCCACCCTGTATATTTTCTTTCAGCGAGATCTCTTGAGCGAGCGAACAAAGAACAAAACGCAGAGGCAATTGCGCAAATCAAGGGACAAACTGTTACGTCCCTTAATTTGAAATAAAGAGGCGCGAAAAAGCGCCTCTGTTACCTGCGCGATTACTTGAAAGCCGGGGGCACACAAGTGAAAATTAAATATACATTATCCGCGGCACGTATGAAACGCGCTGCCAAGTGAACACACGTCAAAACGTCCTCGCGAGCGCCCCACCGGGGTGTACACCGCTTTTAACTCAGAGGCTCGACCGGGGACGAAATTTGAGCATCGAATTAGGCGTGCCGTCAAAAGTCGCTCGACCGATTGTCATGATCGCGCGAGCGGTGCGTGCGAACGATAATAATCGACGGGCAGCCGTTGGGGTGTGTTTTGATTTCAACCACCACGATCGCCGGCTATCGTGACGCGCGCGCGGAGCAGCGCAGCAGCTATTCACACAGCTAGATGGAGAAAGATAGATAAATAGATGGGTGGACGATTGAGGAGAGAGAGAGAGAGAGAGAGAGAGAGAGAGAGGGGGGGGAGGGCTTTATTCGCAAGGTACAAGAAGAAAGAGAGAGCGAAATCAACCCCGCCGACCCCCTCGACGTTCCAGTCTCACAAATTGACGTCCGCAGACACGAGGCCCGTTCGTCCAATGCCAAACGAGAGTGACGAGCGTTGCGAATCCACGACTCGCTTAACATTTCCATTGTGATCGCCGTCCCCGGGGCTCGAGAGGCGGAAAGAACGGGGGGGAGGGGGGAGAGGAGACGCGTCGGGGTGGAGAAATGCATCACGCACGCGCGCGTACGGAAGTGACGCGACGCCGTTGAGGATTATAATAATTGCGAATTAACGTCGGTAATCGGCCGGCGAGGTGTAGCTGGCGATCGGCGTTGCGTTAAACATGGAAGAGGGCCGAAGGAACGGCTGCTCTTTCGATATTTTATGCGGGATTCTCACTGTGAGAAAGATGAGGATTTCATTGACTCGCTAGTTTTCACATTTGTAATTAAATTATTCGATTATATTGGAGTCGAATCTGAATGCAGCTTATGTTAAATGTTTGTATTTTCTAACAAATATATTATCCCGAGCGAAAGATTTGCCCGTTGTTGCTCCTATTTGCGACAGATTAATTCCGTTAATTAATTACACGGCCGTCTGTATTCATCGAACGCTATAATGATGCAGTGTCACGTATATTTACGATAATATAGTAATATGAGCGAGGAAGTTGATTGACCGATTAAATAAACCAAGAGAAAATGTGATCGATTTCAATCAGCCTGTAATCTGTACGAGAGAGGCGGAGGAGGAGCAGAGATGAAAGATGCGTAACGGAGAAACATGCAGCTTACATTGGCGCCGACTAGTCTTTTCTCGGCTTTTCTCAATCCGACAATTCGGACGCGGAAAATCGAAGCGGCAACTCTATACAAGAATTAAATAACAATTAGATATTAATTTCGTGCGGCATATATACGTCCTATATGTTCTTAACGTTAAAACACTTTAGAGGAAATTCGCATCGAAAAATGATGGTGTGCCAATTTGTAGCTAGATGAATAAACGAGATATTGATAGTTGGACGAAAAAAATTACCACCATGAGATGAGAGACCTTGGCTTCAGATCGAAACGTTTACCAGACATATTTCGGCAAATCCCGGAAGAGTACACTTATACATACATTATGCTATAAATAAAAATCAGTTGTCTCCACTTTATTTAACATTTTACTGATCGCTATCTATTTTCCACAACAACAAAATTTTATTTCACAAATCAATTATTATCTCATATCAGAACCAGAAGTGCGAAAGTCTCAGCTTTCCAACGAGTCCTCTCTCGAGCCTCTGCAACATTTACAAGCGAAAATATCGACGGTCGCGTCGCATTCTATAGATCACTTGTCACACTACTTGGACAAGGTCAATGCACCTGCTCGCTGAAAGTAGGAGCGAGAAGCACAACAACACGTGATTCGTCTACCCTCTCATTCAACGCATGAGCGAGACGCTAAGCGCGGTGGCTTCAACACGTGCTCGAGCGCGCTTGACCATCGCGCGGTTCCTCAGCTTCCAGCTCCGTGAAATTCCGCATTGAAAACTGGAAAAGCGACCAGTCCTAATTTCATCGGACAAATGAAGTGATTTTTGCTCACGGAACTCGTAGAGTGAATTTTTGTCGTGTTTTTCGTGTGCGTCTCTTCATCGCAGACGACGGGGGTACGAGCGCGACGCTTCGCATCCCCGTCGCTGCGCCAATGACACTCCCGATACAAAGATGTATGTTCCGATAGTAACAATGAATAATACTCGACGGGCGACGGTTAAACGCAGGAGCGGATCGGATCGGATCGAGGCCGCCTACGAAGTGGTGGAGGAGGCTCGGGACACGGGATGGGCAAACCACCCGTAAAATCCGAAAGGGAGCCGTCGCGGCGCGGCGCGGCGTGCGGGGGCCGTTCGGGTGACTTTGTGACGCGATTATGCTAACGAAGTTGTTCCATTGTAGCGCTGTTTACAGCGACGCGCGCATTAAGGCTGCGGGAACAA